GCCAGTCCATCACGGGGCTGGGGAACACCCTGGACTGGATGCCAGTCCATCACGGGGCTGGGGAACACCCTGGACTGGATGCCAGTCCATCACGGGGCTGGGGAACACCCTGGACTGGATGCCAGTCCATCACGGGGCTGGGGAACACCCTGGACGTGATGCCAGTCCATCACGGGGTTGGGGTACAGCCTGGACGTGATGCCAGTGCATCACAGGGTACATACAGGCATACACTTACACAGTCATACAATATGGGCAATTTAGAGACACCAGTTAACCTAACAAGAAGATTGCAGGAGGAAGTGGGAATACCTATGTGACACGGAGAGGAAACAAGAAGCAAAGATATTATATGGCTGGAATGTAGGCTCCCCATCACCCTGTCCAGGATAAAAGCACAAATGAGTGGACATACATTATAACACTGTTTGCCATACATTACGGAGCCCAACACACCACTAGGAGGATGACAATCAGAACTACACCTCAACCAGGGATACTCCTCGGACTTCCCTTTCCATCTGTGCTTGGAAAGAGGAAAAATGACATATTGGAAACGGTAGAGCAAAAAAAGCTTGGTGCTGGGGAGGGAGAGAGGTCCAGGCACTGGGGAGGGAGGCCAGGGCCGATGGGGAGGAACAGAGCCACAGGTACTGGGGAGGAACAGAGCCACAGGTACTGGGGAGGGAGGTCTGGAATGCTGGGGAGGGACAGAGGCACAGGGAGCACTGGGGAGGGAGAGAGGTCCAGGCACTGGGGAGGGAGGCCAGGGCCGATGGGGAGGGACAGAGCCACAGGTACTGGGGAGGGAGGTCTGGAATGCTGGGGAGGGACAGAGGCGCAGGCGCTGGGGAGGGACAGAGGCACAGGGAGCACTGGGGAGGGAGCTGCGGGGCATATGGGGGGAAAGAAGAGAGGCACTGGCGCAGGAGGTCTGGAACACTGGGGAGGATGTCAGCCAGTGGCTGACGGCTAAGACTCTGGCATCCCATTTCACAGGACTGTGAGTGAATGTGGCCCCTCCCGGACGGGGATGCCTCCCAGCTGAGTGTCAAAGGCACATACTTCTCTTCACAGGTGACATCGCTAGCAGTCAGACATTCTGACTGGCGTGATCAGCACAGCGTTTCCCCGCGATTGCTTCATTCATAGCGAAGGCAAGTGGGAGTCACTGCATTGCCAGGATTTTACACACTGAGCTGGAAGGGCTTGTGCCATGGTGGGGTCAGTCTACCTGTTCACAGCTAATGGGGCGTATTATGTGCAGGGCGCAGCGGGCACCAAGCCAGCCTGCACACCAGCTGAGAAAACATTACACTTGGGCTCGATACCTGCACTATGGGATGGTCTTATATGACCGGTCTGCTAACCCATGCATGTAGGTCAGCTCATATCAGTAAAGACCACACTTACAAGTCTCTATTGCATTAATGCATTATGGGATATCGAAAAATAGTGTCATTGGAATTAAGATTTAATATTTTACCTGGAACAGTCATATGCCTGCCAATGGAGAGCTCACATTTCACGTGTGACTGC